AATATGGGCACATTTTGCATATTGAAAGTGACCGCTCGCATGAAAATATGGTATCATGTTCTGAACACAGGCCAAGTGACCATTCCAATCACCGCGGCGCTCAGAATCTATGAACTTCTTCATCAATGAAACCATGTTGAAATACTGCACCCACAAAGCAGCGGTAGGCCCATTCTCCTTGACATCATTCAGCTGATTCTTGAATTTATGACAGTGATATCTTCGATATTACTCAAAATGCTGATGAGTCCCTTCTTTTCTTGTTCTGAGATTCTGGCTCCTTCCAGAATAATCCAAGCTAAGACAGCTGGAATAAACAAGGCATAATACTTCTTTCAGTCCCGACCCTGCCATTGTGTGACCAATGCACCCCATGAACGACATGAGTGTATGAAATTCAACCAATCTCACAGATATTATCCCGGACTGAATTTCTTGAGCTTTAATGTACAATGGTTGGTCGAAAGTAACGAAACAAATTGCGGCACCTTGGTGTTGACTATCGTTGGCAGCATATTGTAAAGCCGTGTGCACAGTATTGTAGTCACTTGGTGGCGTATTGATGAATGGCAGAAATATTACTGCACTTTTCTCACAATTGATTATATCACCGGCAGATTGCATAAAGCCCTCCCATTCAGGAATTGCTAGCACTTCTGTAGTTGGCTGCACTGACTGGAGCCATTTACCACATATCCATAGTAAATCTTGCAATGTAGGTGTTGACATGTCAGCTGGAATTGGATTAAGCTTATTCAAGTCAAGAACAGCGATCTGCCGTAATGCATTACTTGTCCGATGTTCGAATGTCTGAAGTTCCATTACACCTAGGTTGCCTATTTCTGTAGCAGGTGGACCCGACTTGACCCTCTGGACCTCTACAGATGGTGGGAGAGCTGAGGCATGGGTGATGCATTTGATGCCTCCCATGCTGTGAAAAGTATTCCAGCCATCGATAGTAGAAATATTGAAATCTGCATTGTCGAATACATATTGACAGAATGTTCCACTCTGGGTCGGCTCTTCAATGTGATAAATAGATGATAGTTCGAGCTGTTGAGCTTCGTAATGAGTTCCACTGAATCCCAAACCAGCAAGTAGATTGACCAAGTTTTTTGATCCAAACTTTCTGTGAAGGAACAGAGCTACAGCACAGCATGTAGAATAGGAGATACGAATGATCGAGGGCGAATGGCAGCAATGAGTGCATGGGATATAGATGTCAGCTTGTTTTCAATTTTATGTGTTCCCCTTTTCTTGGCTGATATACAGTCCATAAAGACACGGAGTAAACGAGGTACCATTTTCTCAGACACACTACAAAAGTTGTCACTGCAGTAAATGTTGGGGTTTTTTCTTCTGGATTTCATTAAATTCATCATCTATAGCTTCCGCACAAAACAGACAGTCAGTTTTGAAATCAAATTTCACTTCAGCTGAACGTAAATGTAGGGATTCCTGGGACGTTGAAGGTTGTTGTTGCTCTGAATGAGCTTCTCTCAGAGTTTTTTTAATTGAGTCAATTCTAATATATTCCTTTCTGCATGATGGATGAATAACGCCTTGTTTTTTGTTCCTGAAACCTTCAGCTTTTCCATCTATCCTCAAGTTACTTGCATTCACCAATCCACGTATCCCTTTCTCACCAACATTACATACATTGCTGACAACATCACACTCACAAATCAAACACTTTCCAGCCATTGTTCATAGGTAACTTTTGCAGGTAGAGTAGGTATTTGACAGACGATTGAGTAATCAATTTATTCATATCTATGGCAACGTAGATACGAACAAAGTTAGCTGAGTTGATTCATTAGAAAAGTTTATGCTACCAGTCCTTATTTTTATAGTAAAAGCAATCATTTGATGAGAAGCAGTCTATAGGTATACATTTCATGAAACGCAGGACAATAGTGACACAACAAACATGAATTGCATATCAGTAAACTCTATTTTTTATACTTTTCGATTTTTGTTTCCCCTGTATCTCAGAAACTATCCATTGTAGACAACAAGTGAATAGGAACTTTTTTATAGAAAATTTTAAGTAGTCCAATTTTGTATACCTATATTTTTTCGCTAGAGGTCACGATTTTCGAATTATTCAAGAATTGATTGAGAAAATGACCTTCAAACACTCCCCCACCATCGCGCTCATCCCCTACGGGTCAGGACTTTTAGTATGTTGTTAATGACACCTCCCTTTACCACTATACAAAAATTTGCGACTACACGATTTTTTCCTCTATTCAGCCTTTTTTAGTGTTCGTTGATTGAACTAAATTTGTACGCTCTAAAATTATTCAAGGGGACTAAAGATGATTTTCAGTTCGAAACTCAAATAATCAATGTCGGCTGAATGAATTAATTTGACATTCTCACTTTCGCTATAATGAGTGTTAAATCCTTGAAAATATCAGATGGATGGTTGAAAAAGACATGGCATAGGTACTTACTATCAAACTTCTTACATCGTTCGACACAGTTTTCGGAAGAATGCCCTGTATAACTATTGAAGACAAAATTTCCATTTCCTTTATGATTGTTTCTTTGTACACCAGGATTTGCATTTATTTCACGTTGAAATTTTCATATTTTATTACTCCAGACTCTATTAATCAATCAATGTTAAATTTGGAATAATGAAGCATTTGTAATAGTAGTTGTTATTTCTTCATTTAGTTCATCATTCAGTTTATATTTATACTTAGTTGAGGTTGCATGTATAACGATATTCTTATATAGTAATCAAAATCTATAATAATTATTCCTTATAATATAGGTTATATAGGTACTATAGCTTCTTCATTTGTTGATGAGTTTTTTGTCCAATTTTGATTGTGTCAATCAGCATGTATCCCACAAACATATTATTGTGAAAATAAATGTTATAATTTTCGTAATACTTGTGTCGTTTCATTTCAAAATTAAATTAACTACGTACCTACCTACTCTTCAGAATTCCCATTTCATATTCATTACAAGAAACAACAAGAGAACAACTCACGATGAAGATCTTGTTAAAATTACAGCCATGACATTTGTCTGTTCATTTAACAAAAAATTGCCAAGTTATTCATTTTTTATTCTAACTCTAGAAATGGGCGAGTGGCGAGTGGACTGATGAATTATTGGCATTCAATTACTCCACTGTGTCGTTAGGGAACTATAGTTATTTAACCAACTAGTGTATTAATGAGGGCGATTAATAATCGCCTTTTAATATACAAGTTGGTTACAAAATTTTTCCGTCGACTATATTTCTCATTTCTCCTGCAATGAAGGAAACTTGGTTCGCGAATTCATCATTGATCCGGAAACTGCTAAGAATCACCCAGTAGCCTTGTTACTGACATTAATGACATTTGACATTTGTCGATATGATCTACATAGAAAATAAATTCCTTGTGATAGAAAACAGGGATTAAAATCGTGTCAGAACCTTCGAAGGCGAATCTTCGATGAAATCCATATTTTCGATTCAAATGCAGATTCCGTGAGTTATAGCATAAACAATGAATGCACGCGGTGTATGTTTGGTTGCCTATAAAACAGTCGTGCATTAATTAGACAAATCGTTCATTAATAGGGGTCATTAATGAACGATGTCATATACATTTAACTTAGTCGTTAATACGAGGTCGACGGAAAAATTAATTTTTGCAACACTTATTATCACGTTTTTTTTTTGTAAATAACGAGTCTATGCGTTGTTCAAAATTCTTGAATTTCAGAGCTCATTTCAAACGTACCGTCATGCCCGCCATTTGGTGATACGTCGAATAAATGGTGAAGTCAGTTTTTATGCTGTTCCGTTATTTGTCCGATAATCTTCCATTTCCACTCATGAAGCATGCTCGTCAAGTCACCAATTATAATCAATTTATCAAAAAGATTAGAGTCCTTTCGTTGAATAAAACAGGAGAAGAAACGTAATATAATAAGGAAGTCATGATATAATAGTTCATTCTTTACTTTTTCGAGCAACCAGCATGTCTTAATATCTCTTATACTCCATGACAAACATATTGATGTTGAAGACTTGGTAACAATGTGCTGAATGCTGAGAACTGACAAGGCACCGCCCACAATTCGTGATACTGTGTTGTCACGTTTACCCTCAAATGTCCTGTAGTGTGAATTAATATAATAATATTATCATTAACACAAATGCAATAACATAACATTATAACATTGTTTCTGTTGATCAATTGTTTTATAAAACATCAACAATATACATAAGAAAACATTTAAAAAACTATAATCATGTAATTGTTTCTAATATAGATTGTAGAGCTAGGTTATGTTATGACTCGATATGTCGTCGTTTATTCTTTGTATTCGATTCTCGACCATCACTATGATTTTGATCAGTTTCACCCCAGTTGACGGTACTTGATTATTTTCTTTGTATAATTTTAAATCAATCAGTTCAATTGAGCCAAGCTACCTTGTATAATTTCGAATATACGTGGAAATACAGAGTAGTTCCACCTATCAGAAATTTAGAATTATTTCCATTCCCATAGTAACAATTCATATTGTTACATACAAACAAAGCGCGTCGTTGAATTTTGACTTTCGTTCAGAACTACTCGAAAAATAATCGCATCAAATACAATTCGAACTTCAAAATCTTCAATATTATACATCTCAAACTTCCTGTGCAATTATAAATCGTCTCAGTTCAACAGATTAACCTGCCGCTTCGCGGTCGGCGCTACAAGTTTAACAAGTTATCTATATATAACCCGAATATTTCGAATTACTCATAGTATTACTAGTGATAATACTTTCATGGGCAAAGATTTCCAGTTCTATCGACAAACGAGTTTTGATAGATTTGTTTGAAGAACATTGCCCTTAGATGGAAGTATCTGTTGAAGATTGACAGATCGCCAACCACCTTATCTTCGGTGTTCCAAAGATGTCAAGGTTCCTCAAGTGTGGCATTAGTTGCAGTTGTCAAAGTTGAATGAAAACACAAATGTTCATTTGAAATACAAAATTTATTAGAAGTGGTTGAGTTTAAATTCGATTTCGATAGTAATCAAGCAAACTTTTATAAATCATTAGACGAGTAAGTTCAAGAACGCAAAACACGAACTTCAGCAGACAAAAAAGGAGATAAATTAATAAGCGTTAACGTGAATGGAAATTCCTCCCTTTCAGCCCTTCAAACTGCTCATTCCCGCCCTCATGATTTCATCCACGAGCAACAGGTTGCTGGCTATGACGGAGCAAGAGTTGATGATTTGCCGCTTGACGATGTAGTTGTCGAAGATGCCGGCGTCTTTGGGGTTGACGGCCTCCCCCGAGGTCAGGTCGAGGCCAATCGGATCGGGACTGAGGCGGGATTCCTCTTGGAGTTTCACGATGGTGTCCTAAGAGATTGATTGATTGTCTTCATTACCCCAAGAAACATTATTGTTTATAATAGGGATATACAGTGTGACCCATTAAAGATGGAAGCCCCCTTATGAAACTTACATTTTTCAACCGATTGGAATGATTTTTTTTTTGTTAGGTAGATATTCAAAAAGTCTATTAGGACACCAAATATCATGAATAAATCTCCATTTCCAGGGCCAACTAATCTGATTTTTCAAGGTCAAAAATCTAAAGAAATTACTAGCGATTTTTTTAGAAAAAATCTGACTACACCACTGGATTTGTGACATTTTCAAATGGGTAACATGTAAATTACGTTGAAATGCGTCAATCAATAAAAAAGTTATAAAGGAATTAAATTTGAAAAATATGCCGTTTAATCAACCCATCAATTTTTATTACTGAACAGATTTCGATGAAACTGTGATCAGTAATATTTCAAGACATCCTGAATCCAGTGGAGTATAAAATTCCTGAACATGAATTGGTGGGTTGATTAAACGGCATATTTTTCAAATTTCATTCCTTTATAACTTTTTTATTGATTGACGCATTTCAACGTAATTTACATGTTACCCATTTGAAAATGTCACAAATCCAGTGGTGTAGTCAGATTTTTTCTAAAAAAATCGCTAGTGATTTTTTTAGATTTTTGACCTTGAAAAATCAGATTAGTTGGCCCTGGAAATGGAGATTTATTCATAATATTTGGTGTCCTAATAGACTTTTTGAATATCTACCTAACAAAAAAAAAAATCATTTCAATCGGTTGAAAAATGTAAGTTTTATAAGGGTGCTTCCATCTTAAATGGGTCACACTGTATACAACAAAACATACATATAACATCTTTGGTAGAAGTCCATATTGCTCAGTGCAAGTGGAGTGAAATATTTCACAGGAAGGAAGGAATGCGCGAAGTCATCTCCACAAATTTTAATGATATTTTGACTAAATCATGAGGGACATGTTTCGGTCTTATAAAAGACCATCTTCAGCCTAATTGAAAGGTTTGGAATTGAAAAAATTATTTTATTAAATGCTACTATTCCTTGAACTGTCAATGCCCATAGTCGAGAGTTCCAAGGTTCTGAATAAACGGGTTCTCAATAAATGAAGGGCCCCGTGCCCTGAGAGCGTATACTATGTTTTATTAATGAACATTTCATATACCCAAAATGGTATATGAAGGGTTCCCCGTTCCCTTATGAAAGCGTTATTTAAAGGCAAATATCAATAAAATTGATGGGGCAAACAGCCAGCACGTGTTTTAAATTTAAAAGAAAGGAGAAATAAGATTTTTTTCTGCAACCAACACAAAAGTCGTCCGTTTCGGTACCAAATTTAGCTTTTATATTTTATATTCATTTCATATTTTATATACAGGGTGTTATTCAAGTATATAGCCAAACTTCAAGGGGTGATTATTTGGGTGATTTTAAGACGAAAAGTTCATGTAAACAGAGGTCCAGAAATGATTCGTTTTCATGATACAGGGTATCAAAGTTTCAATATAAAATCGTTTTTTTTATCAATTACTCAAAATTCTGTTTTTCAATTTTAATGAAATTTTATGATTTTGTTAACAGTATTAAGATGCTTCTTTTGGCGTAATTACATTCGAGGTAATGATTCCAGTGGCGTCGCAGTGGGTTACTTTTTCGGTATGAATGGTAAATAAGGCACCTATACGCCATAGTTTTTTCCAAGTTCGATATTTTTAACAGATTAAACAATCGAAAATACAACTTTTTTGTCCTCTATTATGTTTTCGTATATCACTTAGTTTCTGAGGAAATAATGAAAAATTTATTTGTCTCCAAATTCGATTATAGGTGCCCTCAAATCACCCATTGGAATTACCCAATAATCTCAATGAGTATTATTCTGAAATTTTGAGACTTTCCCAGTCACCAATCAGACTAAATTTTGCCATCATGAAAGCTTATACAGGGTAATAATAAAAAACAACAATCAATACTTTCAACTTCAACACCATATATCTTGAAAATTAAACATTTTAGGACCTATGTTCATATGAACTTTTCATCTTTGTATTACCCAAATAATCGCCCCTTGAAGTTTGGCCACATACTTAAATAACACCCTGTATATATATAATTAAATTTTATATAAAAGGTGTTTTTGAAATAAGTGCACATATTCGGCACATCAATATGATGATACAGTCTAAGAAATATTCCCATGATATCAGATTTTTTCTAATTCCTTTCATTAACGAGAAATTTTATCCCAAAGTTTGAACAATATACGAGAAAAAAATCAAGTCCGCCATTTTAAACCAATTTAAATGATTGAATTCCGCGTGATTGTGCCTACCGCATTGAAATTTGAACAGAGGTGACGTCAGATGTGCAGGGTCTAACCTCAAATATTATTTTGATCCCTAAATTTTTTTTATTAGTGCCATTCGATAGTACACGTCAAGCATCATCATCATCATCATTTATTTATTCCCATCAGATAATTATGTATTGTATTGGTAAAGTCATCATCACTTAATGATATATACAGAAGTTTGAAGAAGAAGTGATTGGAATATTTGCACTTATTTCAATGCCACCCTGTATATTCAGCTAGACGGGCTTCATCAAAAACATTTTTCTTTATGAGCCACCCAAGAGTTTGTTGATATAATGAAAAAATAAGCACATTTTTAAAAAAATCGTCGAAAAGTTTTTCAATGAACAAAATATGGATTACGAGGATAAAGGAGGGGTGACACATTTAAGTGGGACACCCTGTACGTCAAAAGTCTTATATTCACCTGAGCGTCGAATCCTGAATTGACGGCCAACGTTTTCGGTATTACCAGCAGGGCTTCGGCGTAAGCGGCCACCCCGAGACGCACCTTCCCTTTCACCGTGTCCTTGTAGGCCAACAATTCCTTGTTGGCTGTCACCTCGAACGCGCCGGCGCCTGAAAATCACGAAAACACTTTTTTCTACTATTGTTATGAAAAATAGCGCATTTCTCATAGCTTCCTTAGTTTCAAAATCATGTAATGCTCATACTGTGAGAAATATTTCTTCTCAGGGCTCTTTGCCAACACCGCATAACATTTCCATGAAGAATCAACAAAAATCGACCAAAACTTAATTGACTGGTGTTCAGCTTTGAATAGTTGTCACAACTGTCAGAAGAAGTTATTCAAATTTTTCAGGGTAGTTTTCATTAATGCTTTTGATAGAAATCGCAGTTTCCATCAAATATTATTCCAACAATTCATAATAAATAATATGATGTTTATACCGAGATGTGACGATATTGATAAATACACCGCCAGAGACAGAGATAATGAAAACAGCTGCGAAATATGGATTTATTTCCGGAAATTTCAAGAAAAAGTTATGAATTGGCATATACGAAAAATTCATGGAATCTAAAAAAAAAATACAGAAATAAAATCTTTTTCGGAAAGTGTACTTTTTTGAAATACTTTGAGGAGCTAGGAAAGGCGTCTACACAATATTCAATGTGGCATAGTGCCACATTATAAAATGAATACCAATAAGTTACATTACTTGGATTCTTTGGATAAGTGCAGCTGTAGAAAAAGTATAGTGTGCAACATTTGGGGAAAAGTACTTTTCTCACTCGTGTGTTTGCATCACTCGCCCTTCAGGCTCGTTCCGCAAACTTTCGTACTCGTGAGAAAAGTTGAACTTTCCCCACTTGTTGCACAATATACTATTTTCTACCAGCGTGCGTGATTCACCCTATACCCGCACGCAATTTAGTTTGGGAAGTGTCATTTTCCCGCAACATTGCGGGAAAAACAAAGATATGACAATATGGCAAAAGATAAGTGGTAGGTGATGCAACATGAGGGTTTGAGTTTGTTTGTTGCAGTATCAAGTATGTATGTTCTGAATCATCCATCAAATTGCACTATTTATTGTGAAAATTAAGAAATATTGAAAAATAGAAATTAATTATTATGAAAATCCCCCTATCCTATAGATTTGGATTGATCTGATGGGAAACGATTATTGTTGTCATGCCAATCAAACCTCAAATGAGTTTGTTATTTTCAAAGTGACAGACACGGCGTTACTGTCATTTTCGATTCAGTGGAATTGCCGCAATGTGATCAAAAACTTCCAGCTATAGGGATGCAATACAGATGCGTTATTGCCAACGAAGTCTTAAGAAAGGTATGTGAAGCTATACACGCGTTTTATTGAATGGTGCAACAATAAAGAAATGAAAATACCGAATAAAGATGGAGTATTTTTGGCTCATTTCATAGAAGTGTCTGAAACCTAGAGACCAAACACCTTGGCCTGCTGGCTTCTGCAATGAACCTATACATAATGCGTCAAACTGTAAGTTCACAATAGCTATTACTAATAATCAGTAGATAGAGGATATATTTCTCTTGTTATCGTTATTCCTATATGAATGAATAATTAATTGAACAAATCAATCAATTTCCTACGCTAGTAGAAAAAATATTGTTCCTAACTCATGCGGAAAGTGTCTTTCCCGCACTCGACTGCAGTTGCGTGCGGGAAAGAATCAGTTTCCGCACTTGTTAGGAAAATTACTATTTTATACAAGCGTGCGGGAAAAACATTTATAAAATATTCTAGCAAAATATGAGTGTTGGGTGACATAATAGGAGAATTTTAGTTTTTTTGTTGCAGTATTTAGTAAAATCATCCATCAAATTGCACTATTTATAGTGAAAATGGAGAAATATTGAAACATAATAATTGATTATTATATAACTCCTTCCATAGCCTTTAATTGATCTGATGTGGGAAACAATTGTTGTCATGTCAACACAAATTAGTTAGTGTAATTCTCAGAGTGACAGATAGAGCGTTACTCTCATTTTCGATTCAGTAGAATTGCGATGAAAAACTTCCAGCTACAGATGCAATACAGATGAGTTATTGCTAACGAAGTCTTGAGAAAGGTATGAGAAGAACTACTCGGGATTTATCGAATGGTGCAATAGTAAACAAGTGAAAACACCAAACAAAGAAGAAGTATTTTTGGCTCATTTCCTAGAAATGTCTGAAACCTAGAGGCCAAACACCATGGGCGTGCTGGCTTCAGCAATGAGCTTACCTACATAATGCTTCAAACGGTACACGATAGATATATCACTAATTATTAGAAGATAGAGAATATATCACTATTGTTAGTTGTTCCAATTTGCGGGCATAATTGATTGAACAAATCAATCAATTCCCTACGCATGTAGAAAAAAAATCGTTCCCAGCTCATGCGGAAAGTGTCTTTCCCGCACTCGACTGCTTGCCCTAACTCAGCTTCGCATCGTTCGGGTCAACGGCATTCGCGTGCGGAAAATTATCACTTTCCGCACTTGTAAGGAAAATTACTATTTTGTTGTCGACCGACTTTGTGTTAAACTGTTTTTTTCTACAAACGTCAAAAAATGACAAGGTTCGCGCATTGATAATAAATTGCGAAGTGACACATTTTTTCAGTTTCCTACGTTACCATGATACCTTGCACAAAACAATCCGCGAAGTAAAACAGTGCGCGAAGTACTTACTTCGCGCATTGTCATGTAAAATATATGAGATATTTATATTTCAACTTTATGGTCCTCAATCGAGCAAACATCCACGAAATCATTTATTTCTGAATGTTCAACAATCTCTTGGAGCGCACGAAAGGAAATTTCTATTATGTTCGTGGACCATCGTGCGTACCTAGGGAGGATAGGGGGAGGCCTTTCAAGCCAGTTCAACAATATTTTTTATATCAAGCTGAGCATATTTTCACTTTAGAACTATATTTTCTGACGTTTTTAGAAAAAATTTTGTTTGCAACTCGAGCGCGAAATACTTTGGTCATCTCGACTATTTTTTTAACTCGGCTACGCCTCATTAAAAAATCAGATCTCGATCACCAAAGTAGCAGTTCGCGCTCTAGATACAAAAATATTTATTTCCTTGAAGATGATGATTATTTTTTTCACATGTAAAAATGTGACGTTATCGTTGTTGCAACCAATAGCAATCCGTTATTTTTGCCAATCAATCGATATTATGGGCGTGTTTTTCATTCCATTGAAGAAAGTACGCACTGATAGATGCGGTTTTTTGCGTGACGTCAGCAATTATTCAATGTAATTCATGCTCGAACGATAAACAATGGATTATACAACACATTGATGGAAAAACAAATTTCGTTGTGTGTCAGTCGTCATGTATCTTCAGAATTAGAAGAGGCTGATACGATTTTATTGATTTGAACTTATGACTCTATCTTATAAAATCTGTCAAGAATCCCAAAATTCCATAGCCGCATTGAAATATGAGAGGTCCGATAAATCTTTCCTTGTCTAACCTCTCGTCTGCGCCACTGAACTATTTTCAATGATTTAATAGGCCTGTTCCTTTGTGTTGCTCTATCTGCTGAAATTAATTTTTTACTGACTTTCTCTGTTGACATCACGCCATGAACAGAGACAACTATAGAAAAAAATTACCATTAGCAAGTTCAGCAATACAAACCAACAGGCTTTATGATATCCTTTCCTTCTGAACTAACTGAAATATTCCACTTGGACTGAACTGAATCAGTTAACATGCATTCTAAATATTCAGATTGTTTGGAAAGAAAACAATAACGGATTCAGGTTCACTTCTAGTGAGTTATTCCAGTATTTGAGTATTTATTCAATACAGCCATGAACAGTCATATGGTTTACATACATTTTTTCAGGTACAAAATGAGCTTTAAAAGCTTGTATGTGTAAGCGCATTCACAACAGATAATTCACCAATGAGACATACGTATATAAATAGAGATTAATAATAATATTCAAAAACTTTTGCATTGCCAGATGAGGAATATTTGGTCAAGATTGGTTAAATTGCATCGGGATTGGCCACCAAATGCACACATATTGGACATAGTGGTTCACCCCTCGGGTTTGCCTTTGAGTTCGTTTGGTAGTGTGTTATAAATTTTCGGCACTATATAAAATACACTTCGCTGAATAGTTACATAAGATGTAGTAGGAACAATTACATTTTCATTTGTTACTGATCTAGCCGTTATTACATGATTCACTTTCGGTACATTCATTATTTTTGTGAAATATATCTTACAACAGATTTCAAGTATAATTGAGAAATGTCAAGAACTCTTGCATCTTGAAAGAGTTTGTCAGTAGGAAATGTTTTATTTCTGAACAATATAATTTTTAAAAGGTATTTTTGTACTACAGTTAAAAGGAGTCATGACATTGGCATAAGCTGAACCCCAGGCTGAAATTCCATAAGATAACACAGACTCTACCAAAGCCCTATAAATATTGATAATGCAGTTCCTTTCCAAAATTTGTCGAAGTTATAATATAACCTTCTAATTCTAAATACAATATATTCAATGTGATAGTTCCACTTCATGTGTGGGTCAAAGTAAGTTCCTACATACTTGGTTCTATTATTAATTTTAATTTTCAAGTTACATTGGCAATTGTTCATTTCTTTGAAATTAGGTTTATGAAATATCAGCGATTCTCTCAAGTCATTTTTTTACCAAACATAAGGCGGTCTCAGCTTTATTATACACCAAATTTCAAGAGTTAGTTCCGTTTATAATGATGTGATATGTCTATATTGCAGCCCTACTTTTATGAAAAATAGGTGCATTTGCGAACGGCAGCTCTTCGTCAGTAGGCACTATGGGTTCGAGTTATCAAAATGAGTTAAAATAGCAAAATTTCAGTTATCTAGCAATCATAAGGTTAAACAAAAAAGATGGGGCGCCACTGCAACTTTTAATTCAAAAGAAAAGTTACCTGGAAAGTTGAGCAACCAGATAATGAATAATATTAGTTGTTATCCCAGACTGAAAGACCTAAATTTACCTTATAGAGATGTTGTGAGTTGGAGTGTCATGTCAATAAACAAATAAAACAGTCATAT